ATCAGCAATGATATGGTTTATAATATTGTATGATTCTGAAATAATGCATGATTTATAAAGAATGTGTTATATGCACAAAAGATGCACTTATTTCCAGCAGTAAAAACCAAAAGAACTGCGGATGCTGTAAATCAGGAACAAAAACAAAGTTGCTGGAAAAGCTCAGCAGGCCTGGCAGCATCTGTGGAGGAGAAAACAGAGTTAACGTTTCGGGTCCGGTTCTGAGGAAGGGTCACTGGACCCGAAATGTTAACTCTGTTTTCTCCGCCACAGATGCTGCCAGACGTGCTGAGCTTTTCCAGCAACTTTGTTTTTATTTCCAGCAGTAATTGCTTTGTACTATACAGGTGGGAATATACACAATTTTGCAAATGTAGTTTCATTGCTCATCTTTGAGCTTATGATACATATGCCAAGAATTAGTAATTGCATTTTTCGGTTTGGATTATATACAAGAATTATACCTATAAATGTTAGTAAGTTGTGGAGAACTATTTATGATTGTTCTGTATGGTTGCTAGTGAGTCTGCAATTAAGTCTGTTAGAGGCCTGGTCAAATAACATAACTAGTCTGTCTCCAGTCTACTTCTATTTCCTGAGAGGGGCCAATCATCTTTTCTGTTCCTGCATGCCAATTCAAGATTCCAAAAAGCCTTATACTTGACACATGAGCAAACATCAGTTTGGCATTGAATGGGTGACCTATTTCCAATCCCAACTTCATTCACACCTGGACCTTGTTATCTATCTATTCTTTGGGAACGCTTCTACACCAGGTATATTGGAAATGTTTCCTTGGTGAGACCATAGTTCCTCCACATTTGGGAATCCCAAGTGCTATCAGTGCCTAATGATTGTGTTCCATTCAGATTTTCCTCTGTCTGATGTAGAATAAAACCAATCGTGTGAGTTCAGTCATTCACTGGCTGTGGAACTTCATGGATGCCCTGCCTCCTGATCTTATCCCAGATTTGTGCAGTAGTTACCCTCAAGCTGTACATGATCAATTTTGTCTTTTTACTGGAGAGAGATGTCTGGTTTTTTTGTAGATTATGGCTCCTCACCAGATTTTCCTCATCCTTTCAATAACCTGGCTTTTCCTTCTTTGGTTTTTCGCATGTGACATAGTGCTGTGGAAGATGAGCTGTGACTGTTAGATTGAAGTATTACAAGGAGACCTTTGGTTGACAGTGAGCTAGATTTTAAATTGGTTTTCACTGGATGATGCCTCAGAACCTCTTCCAGTTTATCATTACCCACATTGCATTTTCCACAAATTGCACTTTACAGTTAATCTAAAGTGGCATACTCTTTCAGTTTCTCTGTCCTTCTTCACGTGCCAAGAATGCAGTTCCATAATATCATGAAAACAAGAGGTAAAATGAATCACAATTAATAAAAGCCCTCAGAAATGAAGTTGGGAACTTCAAGTACAACTCATAAACCTGTTCCCTCTGCATTGGAGATGAAAATCTTCAGTCACTGCACAGTGCTCATGTAAATCTATCCTCCGAATTCTTCTTACCATTCATGCATTTAGATCAGTTAAGGACACCTCTCAACAAGGTTTACGTAACAAATTTAATGAGGAGCTTGAATTAAAGAAATGTGTTTTGGATAAATTGATAAATGAAAAGATATTAGAGATATCCTAACTTGCAGAGTTCTTTAAAAAATCCTCATCGCAGCAAAGTACAAGTTGATCTGACTGGTTCTCTGTTCAGAATTGAAAAGAAGCCACATTGTAGTATCCTGAATCATTGATTTTGTATGCTGTACTATGGGGCATTCTGTTCTCTTTGTGCATTAGAGTCTGTTGCTAGGATCTCGGAGGATAACAAAAAGGACATTGTAGGCTTGTGACAGAATCACAGATTATGAGACATATTGGGAGCACTTTTGAAAAACACTTGCCTCCCACAGTCATCTCTGGAAAAACAATTTGTTTATTTTAAAGACAACAAGGTGCAGGGCTGGATGAACACAGCAGGCCAAGCAGCATCATAGGAGCAGAGAGGCTGACGTTTCGGGCCTAGACCCTTCATCAGAAAAGGGGGAGGGGAAGGGGGTTTTGAAATAAATAGGGAGAGAGTGGGAGGCGGATAGAGGAGAGGATAGGTGGAGAGGAAACAAACAGGTCGAAGAGGCGGGGATGGGGCCAGTAAAGGTGAGTGTAGGTAGGGAGTTAGGAAGGGGATAGGTCAGTCCAGGGAGGACGGACAGGTCAAGGGGGCGGGATGAGGTTGGTCGGTAGGAGATGGAGGTGCGGCTTGAGGTGGGAG